GTTGGCAAACCTACCTCGTTAATGAGTTTGTGTACAGTGCTTTAGGTAACAACGTTTCGGAATAAATTTTATAATTTTACGCAAATTCATACATAGTTTTCTTAGTCTGCTAATTTTAATTAAATATTATATTAGAGTGCAAATCGGTTTTCGTTTACAAGGTGAATATAAACAGATAATTTCATGTTGCTAGCATTACATTATATTAATAACTCCTTTAAACGTTTAGTTGAAGTTAGAAATTTAACATTATTTTTTAAATTGAAGTAACAGTCAAGAAAAATGATAAAACTTAATATTACTCTCCACCATTTTGTTTTATTGTATTTTTCTTTTGTTGGTAGAGGCAAAAGCTCTCAACCCATACAGCCGTTAACTTCAGTATTTTCTTTGAATTTTTGACAGGCTTTCTGTAACATTTTTATGCACTCTTATTTATTGTCTGGGTTAGAACCTACTTTATATTATTGTATTTTTTATAATAATTTATATATACATATAAGTAACATCAGTCAGTAAAATATTAGTGTTACAAGAGAATTCGAGATAAAAACAATAACATTATATCTAATCATATTTAAATTAAAGTCACAGTCAAGAAAAATTCTGAAACAAAATATAACTTGCCACCATTTTGTTATATTGTATTTTTCTTTCGCTGGTAGAAGCAAAAGATGGCAAACATATACAGCCGTTACTATCAGTACTATTGAATTATGACAGGCTTTCCGTAACATTTTTATGCACTTTTATTTATTGTCTGAGTTAAAAACTATGTATAATATTATATTTTATCTACGTTCTTTATAATACTTATTTTGTTTATAAATGAACCATTAACCGTGAATTACTTCGATATGTACAAGAAAGCCAGCTGAATTCTGAACGCCAGTATGGCTTTCGCCAGGGTTGCTCAACTAGTAATCTTCTAGTGTTCTTGACACATTGATGAGCAGAGCCACCATCAGTTAGTCTGGACATTGCGAAGGTCTTTAATGATTTTAGCACAAAGCTCTTCTTTCAAAACTTCCTTCGATATCCCTGCAAAATTATGCTTGAAAGGTCGCCAACAAAATTGCAATACCCCTGGTATTACAGATGCTCATGGGTGGGGGTAATCACTTACCATCAGGTAAACCACAGGCTCATTTATCGCCTATGGTTTAAAAAAAAAATTACACTAATCAGTAAAATATTTGCGACTACACCGTGCTATCTTTTGATCTCTCGTATTTGATCTCTGTCAGGATATAAACACTCTGACTTCATTATTTCAATAACAGCAGACACCGCTCGTTTACTAAACATACAAGTACATACATATGTATGGTTTACTAAACTACGAGTCCCCATACAAGTATGTAAATACATACATACGTACGTAGTTCATCACTTAAGTGCATATACAGGTACGGACAAGCATCTATTGCCGCACTGTAATTGCATGCCAATGTTGACATGACGCAGGATGAGATCTCGACGGACTCTGTGAACAGGATGCTGTGATTCCTGATATAAATAACTTTATTATAGACTAGCTGTCTTCGCGACTTCGTCCGCGTGGAATTTGTTTTTATACTTTTTTTCTAAAATAAAAAAAAATCTAAAATAAAAGTGGTCTAAGTTACTCCTTATTACATCAGCTACATGTCAAAAAAGTCCCTTCAAAATCGGTCCAGCCATTTCAGAGATTAGCCGGAACAAACAGACCGACAGAGAGACAGACAAAATTATAAAAAATGTTATTTTGGTGTATATATCGATATGCGTGTAGTAAAAAACGGTTATTTCAATATTACAAACAGACACTGCAATTTTATTTATATGTATAGATAATAATAATAATAGTAATCTCAGGACATATCACACAGCGCCATCTAGACCTACATAAGTTACACTAGCTAAAGCTTCACGTTATGGGTACTAGACAACTGATACAAATACATACATTCACAAGAAACCGGGGCGGATCGCTAGCTATAATATAAAAATTCCAAAGTTAGGTAGATCCTTTTAATTCTTCATGTTCTTTGATATAAATAGAAATATTTAAAGAATATTTTACAAATATTATAAACGCGAAATTTTGTGAGTGTGGATGTATGGAAGAATCTTTGTTACACATTTAAGCAAAAACTACAATATGGATTTTGATGAAATTTTACAGTAATATAGCTTATATATCAGAACAAAACATGGGCTATAAATTTCACGCATGTAAAACCGCAGACTCGGCTAGTATAAAATATAAATATATATGTTTCATATAGCCCTGGTTTTCATATAATAAATAAATAACTTCATATAAAAGCAAAAAGTCTGTCCTACAATAATCTCTTTCTTTAGACAGCTAAATGAAGCATTTTAGCTGTCTAAAGAAAGAAGCTGAAAATAATCAACAGACTTTATAAAACAAAGTCGCTGTCGCTCACTGTCCGTCCCTATGTACACTTAAATATTTAAAACTACGCAACGGATTTTGATGCGGTTTTTTTGAATAGATAGAGTGAATCTAGAGGAAGGCTTATATGTATAATATAATTACACCCAGGCGAAACCGGAGCGAATAGCTTTATAAATAACAGTCATATAAAAACAGCAAGTCTACAATAATCTCTTTTTTTAGACAGTTAAAGTGCATAAGCTGAAAATAATCAACAGACTTTATAAATATTTCACAGTAAGTCCTGATAGTGATATCAAAATTGTTATATTAAAAATATATCTTAATTAATACGTTAACACATAATATAAATTTATTACTTATATCATTACGTACATATACGTATTAGATATACATTGTTATATTATTTAGCTACAGCTAAATCGTAGAAAAGATGGCGGCCTGTAATCACTTTTTTATTTTTTTATTATACGAGTGTTCGCTTTATTTGCAGCCAGTTATATTTTTTAGAGATCTAGTGCCTAATTATTCCGGAATATTCTGGCAATAGATTATAAGTGCATGAAAAGATATGTGGATAATAATCTGCCAGAATCATTAGTCATCAAAGCCTTTGTGACAGGCTCGACTCATTGGCTTTGATTTGACATTGCATCTTTGTGCATTTTCTACTGAATGTATCACAGAGACTGTTCTAAGGAATTATTCCGAGCTACGTAACATCCTGATCATCTGGATGAACCTTCAAGAAAAGAGCTTATTCCTTCTTAAACAGTTGACAACGCACTTGCAATTCTCCTGGTGTTGCGGGTGCTTAATTAACGGCTGTAATCAGTTATCTACTATCAGGAGAGCCGGATCTCGTTTTTTTTAAGGATGATAATGAAATTCTTTACCCGCCTGCGCTAACGATTTACGCTGGCAGGGCAGTGGAGGATGATAAGATGAGAATGAGGTCAGGTCCGTTAGCCCGTGACATATTCACTAGAAATTTTTCACTATGGTTTCCAGGGGAAACCACGTGTCAAACTGACATGGTACATTGTTGGTAATGGGGATATTGGGCCTCATTATTAATAATCCCCTTCCCTCCGCCGTTTTTTTTTTAGTGGATGATAATGGAATGATGCACCCGCCTGCGCTAACGGTATACGCTGGCGGGACACCAGTGGAGGATGACATGATGAACATGAAGTCAGGTCAATTAGCCCATCGTGATAAGTTCACCGGGAATTTATCACGATGGTTTCCAGGGGGGACCGCGTGGAGGTCAACCTGACATGTACATTGTTAGCAATGGGATCATCAGTCCACATTACTAACAATCCCCTTCCCCCCTCCCTCCGCAGTTTGTGTCCTGTGCTATAAAAAAAAAGTAAATAACCTAACCAGTAATGTGTATTTTTTAGTTAGCATTACAATAATAACCGGGTCAGATTTAAATAATATAAGGTACCCTAATAAAGCGTTCTGCTCCAAATCAGTTAGCGGTCAAGCGGTCACATTACGTACAGATTTACGGCGACCTTCCCGCTGGGCTTTGGCAGGAAACTCGCAATTTTTGCTTCAATAATTTTTGCCTTTGTTACTTTTCATGGATATGTTTTTACATCAGTATCAGGAAATTTCGCTTACCTGCTTGTACCGAAGTTTCTATTTATGCTCACACTCTTTTTTTTTTGTTTTTTATTCTTACATTTATTTAGGGACTTTTATCATAATATGATAATGCCAGTCCCATTGTATCTTACGTAACTCTATTAAATTAATGATCACCCAGTGGTGATTACCATAATTAATTTAAGTAACACTTTGTAAGACCATAGACAAAAGGAATAAATTATTAAATGATATAAGACTTTGTTACCGCTTACCAAAGGGCGAATAATAATACAATCTAGTAGTAGACACAGTAACCATATATTTACATAATATTTAAGCATAGGACGGAACTCCTAATTACTCATTTCTGTAATTGTAAGTAGTGCTATAAACAAAATAAACATTTATCTTTATTTTTTAAAATACGGTTCAGAGCCATCTGTTACTTCAATGCAGAAACAGTTACGTGAGATACCTCCTGGCCTGCTCATAAAGCACAATGAAAGCATAGATTCCGCTGTCTACGATACATGAATCTGTGCTAATAGGTATTTTATTATAATAGATATTTGTTAATAAATAAATCCATATAAAACTTATAAAAAAAAGGTATGAACCTGTTTAGCAATTTCAGAAGCGAATAAAGAAAAATTAGTAGAATTGAAACCATCCTTGAGTTTTTTTCTGCTTATCCTTTTTCGGCAAGGCAAAGAGAACAACATCTATACAGCCATATCTGCATGTTTTGATTCTCTAAATTTTCTTAATAGTTCCTAAAGAGAACGCGAGGTATTCTCTGGTAAATTTCAAAGAGTCTTCCGGACAGAAGAACTCGTATAGAGAAACCATCATTAAATAAAGCGATTGTCAACTGTGTCATTTCTTGTGTCACCTCTCTCGGTTACGTCAGTCAGCAGCCAGCTGATTGAATTTGACATGGCGGTTACGACTGACTACGGACGCCATATTTACTTCCGTTTGACGTTTAATAATAATAATTTCTCAGATTCCCCTACCGGTTTGCGAGCCTTGTTCCTAGTAATTGTTAAAACGTCATTTTACTCGAATTCGTTTTTACAATAACGTTTCGGCGCTGTTCTGGTTTAATTTCTCTGCAAATCGCATTACATTCAAGTAAGTAATATTTTAAATACATTTTTTGGTACTATCAATTTTAAACAATACATTTTCTCTAGAAAGTGTCTACCATCCTACGTAATAACCGCAAAACTATGAAATTGCGTGTCTAAAATGCTTACGCAATTTAAATTCTTCCACACGCTCTTTTGAGTATACCAAACTTTACGCTGAAATCGCAGATTATTGTATTTTTTCTCTTTTAATACATATGACGATAAAACTAACCTAACTTTGCCGATCAATAACATTTCGAATTTATGACAAAATCTCCATTCTTTTGTTATAATTTTACATGTATTTATCCAATGTTTATTCTGTCATGTAACGAAATGGATTCTACGAGCGGTATTAGTTTTTTTTTATAATGAAATGGTCCTCCCGTTTATTATAGCGGTACCTATACGATAGCGGTGCACTATTGGAAGATCATAGAAATTAGTTATTATACTGTGATAAAACACCAGGAATTCATGACTAGTTTGCAGTACTATGTGAAGGTCAATCTAGCTTAATAACAGGCTGTTTTGTCCCCATTGTTAAGAATGACCTCTGTCCACTTTCTGCTAACTGTATACTATTTAATTGTGTATTGGCTATGATTTAGTTCCAAATACATTATTTTAAATTTATTTTCCCTTTCTTTATTATGGGTGTAAACTAGTAATTTTATAAAGATATAGTAGTACAATGTATGAATAAATATTTTGCTTTTCTTAAAGTTATACTTGAGAAATTAATAAATGTAAATTATTAATACAATATTTACAGAAATACACTGTATTTAAGCTTTATTGTCTCATTTAATGTATAATTGAATATTTACTGTGATTGTCTTGTTTAGGAGGTCATAAAGTCCCAACTACAACATACAACACAATCAGTTGCACATTTTACAATAATTTACAAATAACTAAAATATTTGTTTAAATATTTGAAAATCAACTTATTACTTCTACTATTAATTGTCATTAAATTTTTCATTACAATTAGTAATTTGTAATAGCATGCAATCTTTGTAAAAATAGATAAAACACAGTTTTCCAAGTACTGCATATCAACTTGAATTTGTAATTACTTTTATAATTGTAAAACCGAGTACTAAAAAACTAATAGATTTTGCAGTTCTATAATCTACTATTTTAGTAGTTAGAGTTGATATATCTTTAGCACTGGTAAAGGAAAATGTGTTTATTTTTTTATTATCACAAAAACAACTCTGATTGCCAATGTCAAATTATGGAGGTTACACTGTATTAAAAAAGCATAAAAATCAATCATGTTCACTTGACTAGTTTATACAAAAAATATTTAGAGTTAGAACAATCTGAAACCGTTACTTATAGAAACATACAGAATTTATAAAATTATTGTTGGCAATCAAATCAAATCAGAATTTATTCATTCTAAATAATGGAGTGACAGCAAGGCAATGATGATTGTTTCTATGCACAAAATATTCAAATCAAATCAAAATATCTATATTAATGTAGGTTTATTACAGATTCTTATGATATGTCAAATCTACGGTCAGTTTGGAATGATTTCGAGTTGAGAGGACAAGAAACTCAGATTGTATTATTTTCAAATTCACATTCATAGACACTTGTCTGTGAACGACAGATATAAGTTTTTATGTGTGAAAACTAATATTTCTTTTCAAACAAAAAAAAAGTATTGTAATCCAATAGTACACAACAAAATCTAAATGTATCCAAGATATTGGAATCTTTGAATAGTCAATAGATTCACAGATAAGTTTTAAATTTTTAAATTGTATCTTCATTTTTTTTAAATTTATTCTATTTGGGTAGGATATAGAGGGATGGTATTCTGCCATAGTTCCAAAGGTCTTTTATAATTAAATTCTTGTTACAAATGCTAGGTGATGCCAGCCACAAACGATAGGAAAAGACTCCGAGAGTCTGATGGAGAGGTCAATGGGAATTTGCCAAAGAAACATCTTATAGAGAGGTATTGTTTTTGAACAAAATATGGGATGACCTTTCGCTTGCCTCAGCAGTATAGTTATGGTTTGGGGTATTGCATGAAATTAATTAGTGCAAATAATTAATTTATTGTATGTGGGCCTTTCTCTACTAACTGGAAACTTGTCTATTGAAATTTGTCCCAACCTATTTTTCAACAAAATTAAAAATATAATATGTTAAATCGATAGATAGTTATAATATAAATGCATATGAACAAGAAACCATTGTAATTTTCCCTTATTTTTCGAATTATAGGCAATTTTGTAAAAAAATGCGGCAGAGGACTGTTTTGCCACCCAGAGTACTGTTTTTTCCACCCTGAGGACAGTTTATATCAATGTTTATTTGAAGAAAAACACAATATTAATTATTAATTGCAATCAAATAAATTTTCTTCTTTATTTAATACTGTATCCCATATAGAAATTTTCGTTTTCATCGCCTCTGAATGTATTTCCTTTAGCATCACAAATTTTTAAGAAGGTTACTGTTAGTTCGCCTTCTTCCGTGTCTATGTATCAGCATATTCAGTGTTTCTTACTAGAAATTTAACCACGATGTAATCACCAATCATGCAATCAAGATGTGATAGTGGAATTCTGTTGGTTGATTGAGCTAGGTCCAGCCAGTACAACGTCGTTGTGGGTCTCCATTGTGGAATCCTGTGAGTTGTCCATGTTTTCACTTTCAGAGTCTGTGTAAATATCATCTACGTTAAGTTTTGTCTTGTTTTTGTACTCTAACACTCCTAAATTGAAATGCTGGCACTCATCTTCACAAGTGCAACTTAAACTTTTCATTATGAGTTTCGCGGTACTTGGAGCTAATTCCAGAGGACTTGTTATTATTTCAGCCTTAACTTGATGTATTTTTATAGAGCCATTAAAGTTTTTTAAATTAACTGTTTCATTTTGAATGTCGTCTGTCAATTCTTGGATGGCTTTATCGTCTATCGTGAACAAGTTAATTGCGGAACATCTTCGTTGAATAGCCTGTATACTAATGTCTCAATATCACCTCCTGTAGTGACGACGACATCAGCGGTTCTCTTGCAGGTCTCTCCAATGCCAAGTTTTTGACTGCGTCTATGCGAGCTTCTGGCGAATCACGCATTTGGGTAAGTTTAGTGTTAGGTGTGTCTACATTTTCCTTTGTCCTAGCTTCTTCCAAACGTTCTAATCTCTTCTTATATTTCTCGGATTTTTTTCTGTAATACTCTAACTTTTTGTCTTTATCCTTTACAATTTTGTTTCAACGTTTCTTTCTAGCATTACGCTTTCTCGCATTACTTGCATCACTTCGCGGAGTGGTCATATGGTATTTTCTCGTACAAAATTATTTGTAATTTCTTTCAAAGCTTTTTTTTGCTTGCGCGATAGATAGCACAGTGCTTTCTCTATTCTTTAGTCACAGTTTTGTGTTTACGTCGACTCATATCATGAACTGACTTTCTTGTACCTTTTTCCCTCTTTCATTGGTAGTTCCGACGTACGTTTTCCTTCAATTGCTCTCTTTTTACTGGGTAATTTTTTAGCCGTTGATGTCTTAATCTTCCTGCAATTCGTTTCTGCTCTTCTATTTCTTCTTTGGTTTTAGGTTTCTTCTTTGGTGACATTGCGGCAATTCTTAAACAATAAAACATTCAATATATAAAACTTTCAACATATAAAAAAACCGTAATGGTTTAGTTACTAGATACGTATTTTATTTTATATTCTAAAATCCATAATAATAGAAAAAAAGACCTGAATTAGCGGAACAGGCCAATGTAAGAAAGAAAGACGCTATTGGCAAGCAGTAGGTTAGTGCAGACTATAAAGACTATTAATAAAGTACACGGACGTCAAATAAAACAGTCCTCTGTCCCATTGAACAGTCCTCTGTATTATAAATTTCCAGAGGACTGTTGTACAGAGGACTGTTATTTTTACGTAAAAATGTCATACCACGTATCAGTTTAAATATTATTTCACAACATAGAAACAGGTCTAAATTATCACACTGAGCAATTTTTTTGTTAAATAAATATAATTATAACACATAAAACACTGTAAAATAGACTTACCAGAGGAATGTTCACTCAACATTACAGAGACGTGGCTCCCACACAGACGCGAAGTTGTCACTGCGCAAAATCTTGGAGACTTGTTCAGCATGACGACCGAGTAAACTTCACACTGTTAACGTTCCATTTCACGCGAAATATACCCATAATAGTGTTTAATATTTTTGTGGCGCGATATTCAAATTGTGACAGTGGACTGTTCACAAATGTATCGGACAAAATTCGAACATGTTTTTTGTTCACATGCATTCAATATTCTTTATGTTCATAGACTTATAAGATTTTACATTTTTAAATACAACTAATAAAAACCGAACCGAATCATACTCGATCCGGAATTAGGACATAACAGAGGACTGTTTTTAGTGACTTTCAGACCAATTTTATGAAATAATTATGATTCTAAATATTGATTAAGCTTGGCTCCTTAAATAACAGGTTATATATTATGTGTTTTAATAAATAAAACTATGCATTTACATAGGCAAATTTAAAAAAAATGCTTGGACCATGATTTTCCTGTTAGTGGAGAAAGGCCCATGTATTTATAAAATATATGTATATGTACATATATTTTTAGAAAGCAAATACTTATTAATATATTTATCTATTGAATCAGCAAATAGATGTAATCAACTATAATGAATTTGATATTTAATTACTTAATTTAAGTGTTAGTCTAACATTATTTAATGAAATTACTTTCGGGAAAGTTAAAATTTAATTAATTAATTTATTTATTTACTTACACAACTATTAAAATAATCAGAGTGTTGGAAACAACAGCATTTTATTAGGGTATTTCTATGTTATATGGCAACACTTTCTCTCTATTTTGTATTATCACTTCCATGGTAGAAGCGTCCTACCAATTGATTTCATTACCAAACACTTTTTCTATAGTCCATTAAGTAACAATAATGTCACCGAGAAATGGCATTATGTTGACATTAAGTCAATGAAATAATACTCAAAATTATGCTTATTATATGTGTATCATTTTTTTTTTAATAGATTACCTATGTCAAGAAATCTTAATAGTTGGAATTGCTCTATAAAGAGAAATATTATATGTATGCTACCTGTGTCCTCGGTTTCACAAGCCTTAAATTTCAATAAAAAATATAGCCTATATGTTATTCTGATGCAGCTATATTACTGTAAAGTTTCATCAAAATCCATTCAGTAGTTATTGCGTGAAAGAGTAACAAACATCCATCCATGACGACCTCGGTGGTCTAGCGGTCAAGCACACCGCTTTACGACCGATGGTCGCGGGTTCGATTCCTCGCACGGCACAAACATTTGTATTCATGAGTATGATTGTTTGTATCGGTCTGGGTGTTTTCTATGTATAATATGTATGTATTTACAAAAAAAAATATCTATGTATATGTATCAGTTATCTAGTACCCATAACACAAGCTCTAGCTAGCTTAACTTGGGTCTAGATGGCACTGTGTGAATTGTCCTGAGATTATTATTATTATTATTATTATTATCCATACTCAGACACTTTCGCGTTTATAATATTATTATTAAGATTATTAATTGGTATTATCAGCCAGTAAGTTTTGAGTTACAAGTGAATGCCTAAAGTAGTAAGTTTATCTAATTTTATGATTGCCCAAGTTCAAATTAGTATATTATCAATAAATATCTACATACTGATTATAATCCGTCTAGATACAAACATATGTTGGATTGTCGCATTCTTTTAATAGTTGATTGCAAATTGCACACGTGTGTATTCTCAGCTAATTGTCCTGGAAAATAATCTAGCATTGTAATTAGTGCAGTTATGAGTCGACAAGGTTTTTCTATTCCCATTACGTTATCGATTTAATTGGGAGGGGGTTGGTAGTATAGGGAACTAGTCGCACCCTGCTAAGGGATTTTTTTTATACGTAAAATTTGGATCGATCCCCCGTCTAGTTCAAACGGTGATCGAAATTACGGCCTAAGCCGAGGTTTGAACCCCTTTAGGGGTCTAAAGGTGCCTTCAGACTAAAGTCGTATAAGTCATATCCATCAGGCGGGAGTTGGCCTTCAGCCGCTCCATAAGTCCTTCCTCGGGTTTGGATGATTGCGAGTATGAAAAATAGATAGTAGCCGATTCTCAGACCTACTGGTCAAGTCGTATGGTAACTAACACGAGAAAAATTCTCGTAAATACATAAGATAAATTTAGTTTTACATCCTTGTACCGAGATTCTTATGTTCTATTTTTGTTTTAAAGGATGATAATGGATTGGTGCACTCACCTGCGCTAACGGTTTACGCTGGCGGGGCACCAGTGGAGGATGATAAGATGAACATGAAGTCAGATCAGTTAGCCCAACGTGACAAATTCACCGGGAATGTATCACGATGGTTTTCAGGGGGAACCGCGTGGAGGTCGATCTGATATGGTACATTGGAGATCATTAGTCCACATTACTAACAATCCCCTACTCCCCTCTCATGTTCTATTGAAATGATTTAATATTGTGCAATCGAAAGTAAGCTGTAACGTCATCTCGTCAGTGGGATATTTCCGACTCTTAACGCGGGGGAAAAAGAAATTCGGTGATATGGACTGTTGACCTCATTGCTATTATGAGACTCCAAAGTACCATGTCTGATTAAGATCCACCCGGTTTCCCCTGAAAACCACCATGAATTCCTGGTTAATTTGTCACGATGGTCAAACTGACCTGACCTTTGCTATTTTATCATCCTTCACTGGTGCCCCGCCAGCGGAAACCGTTAGCACAGGTGGGTGCATCATTTCATTATCATCTATTTAAAAAAAACTGTTAATACCGTTACTGATGACGTGATTTCATGGACTGTTGACCCCATTGCTAGTATGCGACTCCAAAGTAACATGTCAGGTTGACATACATCCGGTTTCCCCTGAAAACCACCATGAATTC